ATCGAGAGTTTCCATCAGCATCCCCCACGCCAGTACTCTACACGGGCGTTTTTTCACGGGTAGCCAAAGACACGATTGATGCCCACTGACCCATACAGAGCACCCTTTATACCGTACCAAGCCTGCAGCCCAGGGGCGTACTTGTGCCGTAATTGCGTTTTTAACCAAAACGCTGTGGACTGCAGATTGCTATCGCAGTGATCAGAAGAGGATAACCTTGCTCCGCATCATTCATGTCAGGACAGAGCGTGATAACATCTATGCATTTAACAGGAGATGTTTGACTTTTATGAGGTTGTTAAGCTGCAGGGAAGGTTTTAAAGAAATACGACCTTTCATTGCTTATATAACAGAACCTTCACCCTTGCCACCGTTGAGACAGATGTGTCGAAGTTATGCTCCCATGTTTTCCGCTGCCCACGCTGTAGTTACGGCAGTTCATGAGTAAAGAGCTGGATTCAAAGGCCATCAAAGGCCTAGTGAAGCTTTAAAAGCATCCAATGCGAAACTGGTATATTTCTGAATAAGGCAATCTTTGTGATATTGACACATATGATTAGCACATTTGAGCCAGAATTTCATACCTTGGGCTTTTAAAACTCCAGAAACAAACCCCAAGATGAGTCCTTTAATGTTCTGGAAGGTACCCTAAAAATCAGTCCAAGGCCCTTCCAGTAACCATTTTCCGTCAGAGTTTTCGGAATTTTTTTCCTCAATGAGGGTCAATATGCAATGTGATTGTGTGGTTTAAACTCAGTATGTAAAAAACTGACTAGAATATTGGCTTTGAAAAATCGGGTCCCCAAGCCCTAAAAACTGCACTGAATGCCTTTAATATCAACACCGACTATAAGTTGAAACCTATAAGTTAAAAAGATCCCCCCTCCCAAAAAAAAACGAAAATAGTCCGTCTATGTGTTCTAATGTCCAACGACTGTTTGTCTGAAATTGGCAGATAACATACGGGTGGAGTTGGTCCGCTTAAGGAGTAAAGTTTGCTACGTTATCTGTCTATAGGATCAATTTCAAGCTTGGTAGAAGCGAGAAATATTCTGTACACCGACTGTAAGTTGAAAACTTTAAGTTGAAAAGATCTCTCCGCAAATAGTCTACTTTGGCAAGTGTGTTCTAAAGTCCAACGACTGTTTGTCTACTATCTGTCTTGGATAAGACGTATCATCCTTTTGCTGCTGTGTGTGTCGTCTGGACGTGTTTTGTACGTAGATAGGGTGATTTCACAGACGCGGAGCGTCAGATGGCCAGCGTGTCTGGCGCCGAAGATAGCAATTCTCCATCCGACTAAAACCCTTGTAGTTATTCATTCTTGAAAGCAATTTTCCTGCATGTTGTCTATCTGTTATCTCCCCCAACCAAGGAGGTTGTGAGTTTGGTCCAGTTTGTTGTATTTCCCTTGTTAGCTGTGGTCTTGATCAGATATCAGTTAAAGTCTACTTACAACTAACTCAGACATAGATAGAAGACGTTAGTAATCACTTCTACCTCTATTTGTTTGAAGTACACGACCGTCAAATCGATTGAGGAGTCACAACACTAGTGATGTATTCGTATACATTGGGTAATGGGTGCACTGTACTAATCACTCCAATATTGTTGCTATGCGTGTACGTGCGTGGTAGGCGATATGAAGTGTAAAGCCACATTGTCCTTGTTTTTTTTAATTGCAGTTAGTATCAATTTCAGAGAGATCCCCTCATCCAGAATTTTTTTGTCGCCCTGAAGTTGCATTGAATGCCTTTAACATCGTCGTCTCATCTCAAAGTCTTAGACCCTCCCAAGGACGAACGTGACGTCGTCTTTAAGACACACTTCAGACTAATCTGATTTGTCACTCCGGGTGGTCGGACAGAGCCGCTTTTTGTCTCTTCATCCTGCAGAAATCCTAAAGCTCCCTTCTAATGTACCATTCACTGTCGTCGTGTTAGTGTGACTTGCTGCATGCAAGCACCGTCAGTCTTGTAGAAAACGTGCACTTCGTATCCACTCACGTATGGAACACATTCAAGTATGTAATCTGGATATATGATTTTTAAATGTAAACATTACGTTTACCCCATTTTTTACCAACAAATCGAATTTTAAGGCTCATAACTTATCGTGGGAATGGCATATCAAAACAAAGTTAACATTTTTGTAATCATTGGTTCCTGTTGTATCAGTCAATTAAGTTCCATTTAAAATATTAATATTTGATTATCTGCCACTCCCCTTTGCATTATAAGAAGAAAGAACGTGATCTATATGGGGTCAAAGTTCAAGGTCAGATAGCAAGGTCAAAGCTAGTACACTGCGACAGCTATGAATATTAAAGTATATTCCGCAGACGCCCTACTTTTTATAAACTATAATGAGAATTTGCCACCCTCAGGTGCTACCCATATATGAATATTGAGCCCATGGACTAATAGTAACGACAGCATAACTAATTCCTTTTACGAATTTTTCATGTCATTTATTCACTAAGCAACTAAGTTTTAATCAAATCAGTAAATTGCAACCTCTAGCATGGAATTTTACAACTATATGCAGTTTTTGTAATGAAAATGATTTTTTCATCCTTGAAAAGTTAAAATCTAATCAACTTTTGCAGATCACTTTACTTGAGTGTGGGAGGAGCGGCCAACAATGGATATTCATTGGTATCTTTTTTATGGGTGGTTATGGAAAACGGGGAGTATGAAAGTCTTTATTTCTATATATGCTCGTGGAGGCAAGGCTTGTTTTTAATACCAATTAAGACCTGCAATATGCTTATGGGGTGGACCATTATATTTATCAATGTTCTTTGAGCGAGCTTTGCGGACCCTATATTACTTAACCCTACCTAGACCGGGGGGGGGGGCTAAAAGTGCCCGCGGCAACTTTGATGTCACCTAGCGTCTGAACGGCTAGCCGTAAAACGACCAAACTTGGTGACTTTTCCTAAAATATTGTTGGCAACAATTCTCTATCATTGGAATAAGATAATAATTTTTTGTGTTGCCATGGCAACGGGTTTCTGACAGGCATTTTTTGCTAAATTTAGTACTTTTTGTTTCAACAATAGAATTTTATGGGTTTTATGTCAAGTTACTCATGGTTTCTAATATTAATAACATCCCATATAATTTCATGTAAATTTTATCATTAAATATGCATAATTTATGCTAATTTGATGACGTCATTGGCCAAAATCCAAGATGGCGGACCATATCATTAGAACAGGTATATACGGGTTATTTTCATTAAAATTTCATCAATACTTCCATTTCTTTTTACAAAAAAGGTTTGAATGAAGGTGTTTAGTATGTTTACAATGTATTTTAGGCTTTATCATGAAAAAAAACTATTTTTGAAAATTCAAGATTGATGATCCAAGATGGCGGATATCTTAAATATGCATGACGTCATTTTATGACGTCACCGGTGTTGCTATGGGCAACATAAGACTTAGTACACACTAATATTCTGTCATAAACACTTTTGGTAAAGTTATGTTGTATACCAGGGAGGTTTTCAGGGAAAAACCTATTTAGACGGTTTTGGCCAATAAAATCACATTAATGACGTCATAATGACGTCATATTACGTCATAACGACATAAAAATTGTAGATATGATAAATTTTTACTAGTACACCATTCTCTGAAAATTTGGTGGTCATACGACATACCGTTCGCGAGTTCTTAGGGGGGGGTCAAAAGAGCCCCCCCCCCGGTCCCCCCATGTCAAAAAAAGCCCGGTCTAGGTAGGGTTAAACAGTATCCTTTTCCGGGTTAGTAACCGTAAATGATATTTCTCTTCACCATGTGGTCGAAGTTACCAGTGATTGACTTAATTAATGTATTTTGCCAGTAGCTATACAGTGTTCGCCCAAAGCCCCAAAGTTCCCTTATTATATTAGTCTTTCATAAATTTTCCGCTGGTAAAGGCAGTGCCTAGACGATGCAGGGCTAATTCCCGTCCTTGGCAGACGCTCGTATCTTGTTATTTCGTTATTTTGAGTAACAGACGTGTGAACCAGCTGCCGGGCATACTCCTACGCTCGCCTTGTTATCATCTACACTATAATACATTATTCCATGATGAAAGGCATCCAAATGCAATTTCAGGGTGGAAAACCTGGTTTTTGAAAGCAGATTTTATGGTCATTCTTTTGATAAAGTATGAAATAGTATTAGTATAGTGTCATTAAAATATTAAAGGTGAATCAATCCTATTCCATAGCATCTGTGAGGTCAAAATACGATGTCACCGACGGAAAATGTTTGTTTGAGTTCGATATGTATCTTAGGCTGGGTCTAGCTGTTTATGTGCGATACCCAACTTCAAACGCTTCAAGTATACATAATATAATTACAGCGAAAATGTACAGCAATTGTCAATATCAGACAGATTTCCTCAACCGACATGCAGAATATTTTTTGTTGAAATGTCAGTATTTTGCTTATTATGTTTCATTTATTACTTATGATGTCATTTATTATCACCATATCATCGTTTGTATGGTTTGCTCATCATGCATACGGGCCTATGGCGTTTTTAACATCGTTATTACACGTTTAGTTTTGCGGATTAAATGAATGAAATTATCTTAGTTCTAAACATATTCGAGCGTTTGTTGTGGAGACTTTATCATTAGGGGCATCATAACACTCAAGCTTTTCGCATTCCCCACTTCGTCGTGTGTACCTACTATACAGAATACAGAGATACAGATTTCATAATGTTCAATGTTCAGTTTGTATCATGCATTTGTATTGTGTTTGAATACTTAGATAAAAGAAGTCATAATGTTAAAAAGTTTTGAAATACATTTTAAAATACATCTTCAGGTTTACGAGTAACGTGAGATTTTGTAGTATGCATTTTCATATTTTCTGTAATAACTTTTCTTTAAAATCTTTAAAATCATCCTCAGGTTTACACGGAACATGAGATTTTGTGCATTTTTTGTATTGTTTGAATTCATGAATAAAACGTTTTTTCAAAAATCCTCCCCAGGTTTACGGGGAGCATGAGATCCCGAAGATCGCCCGTGCGGCGGCCGAGGTGACGGGTGTGGACCTGCCCGACCTGATGGACGCGTTCGGCGTGACGTTCGTCAGCTTCGTGGGACAGTACGGCTACGACAGGATACTCAGGGTGCTGGGCAGACATGTCCGAGACTTTCTCAACGGGCTGGACAATCTACACGAGTATCTACGGTTCAGGTAAGGACATAGTCTAAAATTCACATATTGGTACCATCTGAGGTGGCAAATTCTTCTTATTTTTATAAAGTATTTTTATTCACATACATTTATTGAGTATTAAGCAATATAACACATTCTACTCAAAAACATAATGACAAAATACGTTCATAATTACAAAGTGGATAAAAGAAAAATGAGTATAAACAAGACAAGATGGTGATCTATCAATGACGAGAATCTAGTACCTGAACTACATTAAAGACATTTACCTCGCTATCTGACCTTGAACTTTCACCCCATAGGGACCACGTATTTTATAATGCAAAGGGGAGTGGCAAATAATTAAATATGGATATTTTTCAGTGTAGACTAAATGGACTCGTAAAGAGGGAACCAAGGATTACAAAATTGTTATCGGTCACAATTCCCAACCCGGGGCCTGGCCTGACAGTTACTAAAACGAAAAGTACGATGTAAAAACAGCCACACAAAAACGCCTGAATAGTGTTTTGATTAACACAAGTACAGTCGTCTGTGGCATTTGATCACTTTCATATTTGATAAAACTTCATACATTCGACATTACACAGACGGTATATTGTTGATCTACTGTAGTGGACGAAGCACATTTACGAACTCATCACTTGCCACAACACTTGCACTGTGTGTTCTGGCATAGGGCCATGGACGACATCCAGCTAGATAGACCCTGCCAATTGATCGTCACATTCTAACAATAGCTACTATCACAGTGCTCGTTCAGCTACATCGACAGGCTTCCTCTCTGGTTAAATTGTGTCTGATGCGATTTCCACACGCAGTACTTAGGGATGACTACACAAGGAGTTCACCTCTTTCTAGAGAGCATTTCTAACACTGCATGAAAGGGCCACTGTAAGAAATTTAAATCCTTAAGCATAGTATACAAAATATTATTTTTTCACTCAAGTGAACATTTACGTATCTTTGCTTAAAAATTGCAATTCTTGTAGTGGGCAAACAGGACTTGATAAGATTTTGCAGATTCATGAGAAGGTGCTACATTTGCTGATGGATACATGTGTATGATATTGAACATCGTGGCATACCAGGGATATTGACAGCAATGTATACGTATTTAGCTTTGAACTTAAAAGACTTTTGAAGTATCAATAAGGAGAAAGGAAATGGCCTCTTCGTGTCTCTGTCTCTTTTTATTCCCATCTATCTGTCTGTCCGCCTCTCTCTCTCCCTCTATCTCTCTCAACAAGAAAATTAGAACTAAAAAGGCAACGTTTACATAGCAAATGCATAATGTTTACCTTTACATGGTAACGCCTAAAAAACTACTCTTCTGTTTATAGTTAATCATATTCATATACTGTGTACTATATGGTGACAATAATCCAACTCTGACTTGCAACACGCAACATAATGTAACCCAACACCACAGGTTGTCTGCTACAGCACCAGTTACCATGGTGACAGCCGTCTGGCCCAGGTCATTAACCTTGTGTGTTTGAAAGGAACGGCGGTGACAATTTCTGACACAAAAGTTTTGGTAAATAGTGCTCTTTAACACGATGGGCAGTGCCATGATACTGACACCAGCACTACTACAAGTCCTAATACTGGTCTCGCTGTTTCCAGCTACCCAAAGTTGCAGCCTCCAAGCTTCTTCTGTGAAGAGGAATCGTCCATGGGGCTGACTCTACATTATAGGAGCAGGAGGCGGGGTTTCGTGCACTATGTCAAAGGTCAACTCAGACAAGTAAGTCCACAGAGCCAGGCGGCAGTAAAAATTATATAAGATTTTGTTTAATCTGATAGAAATTCCATTGCAAGTTATTGCCCGGGGGCTAATTGTAGATACAAATAACTTGAAAAAAAAAACATATTACAATAAGATAAAATAAAATAGAATAAAGAAAAACAGGAGGAACAACGGATAACAATATAACATGTAACTACTTTTACTATTTTTGATACTCATCTTTTTCTAACTTATTGAGTTTGACGTTTTCTACAGGTCGGTTTCCTGTTTTATCAAACAGAGATAAACGTGGAGGTTATAAGGGAGACTGACCATGTACACGCTGAAGGGCTCACACACGTCATTTTCAGGTTAGCTGTTTCTGCTTATTAATGTATTAATAACGAAAGTCAATTGCTAATTCATTGATAATTGCAAGAACATAATAAAATAATAAACAGTAAAAATGATCAGATACTAATGCTAATTTTGAGTTAGTTTTTGATGGGTTTGATTTCTTCTCTGAGAGCAGTGGAGTATTAAATGCCTGGCGTTTTGCGAGGTGTATGAATTAAGAGGTGTTAAAAGAAATGCATTTTTTGTTGGCTGGAAAGGTAAACATTTTGGTGACCATTTCAAATAACTTATCTCTTTCGGTGCTATAACGAGGGCAAATAAAGTGTATTTCATCCTCCACTGCATTTACTGTACAACATTTACATAATTCTATCGTTAACTGATAATTGTACTTTTCTATCTCTAATGTATGTGCGCTAACTCTAAGCTTACATATGGGTGATCTTACGTCCAAGTCTTTGAAGAGCGCTCTATGGTGTACACAGGTTTGAGGTGTCTATAAAATCTTAGCTTACAGAGAGATAAAATACAATGGTTGAGTTTACTGGTCCCAAAACAGCTATCTGGTAAAACCCCATGGTCGGGCCATCTGTTGCATGTGCCCTTTCCGTTTCGGGTCACAGGACCCAGGGTGTTTGTACACGTATATCTCCTAAACAGGTTACAACCTGCCTAGATGGAGAACACGCTGTTTTTATCATGTTTCTTTTTCTAAAACTCTATTCAGCAAATTTCTTTCCTGGTTAGTTCTATACCCTTTAAAGGCCACTGAGTGTTTCAGTGTACCCATGCATAAAGCTTAAGAAAAAATATACTTGTGGAAATGCTAGAGAGTCCAACGGCATAAAAAATAGTAGATGTGCATGCATGCATGGGCACACACCTTGCGCTGGGAATACACGTATGCATCGGACACAGTATTCCCCTGGGGATTTATGCACTTTCCATCTATATCGTGTGCTAAATGGAGGAAACAAAGAAGGCGCCTGCCTGCATGTGAATTAACAAGACCCGTGCTTTACCTACAGCCCCTTTTTGAGTCAGAAATTACAAGTAAGATATAAGCAAATGCGTTTGACAATCATCACTGTTAAAAAATAGAAACTATTATCTGGTAACCAAAAGAGCTTTAATCGGCGTGACAATTCATTCACATTTTGAAATTCGTTTTTCTTTCACAGACGGGTATTTTTAAGTCACTTGATACAATTTTTCGTAGTATAAAATACAAGCACATTCTAAGCAAAGTAATAAGATGATCATAACATAGTTAGAGAGCTTGTTCCAACACACGGAAAGAACTCACCATAAATTTTCGGTTGATCTCGTCAACGTTCGTCAGATGTGTGATCATTGAGTGATCAGCGATTGCATCACACATCTCACGAACGTTGACGGGACCAATCGAAAATTTATGGTGAGTTCTTTCCTTGTGTTGGAACAAGCCTAAACTTTCTAACTATTCTACCAACACAGAAACCAGCTTTCATTCGAATGATGATAAGATTCTTAGATTAGATGATACAGTACTTTATACTAGTTGCTCTTCGAATGGAATAATATCAACACTTTGAAAAAGTAGTGTCAAAATTTATGTTTACATGCTGTGCTTACTCCGTTAAAGACTGCGACTCATAAATCAGAGTTCATACATGTTTTCTCCCTTTTACTTTGAGACATATGTTTACGAGCTTTTTAATATACCTTTAAGCAAGTAAACGTAAATTTGACTGGTCACGAAAAGATGACGGCCTATTCACAGAGTCAATCAGATTTCGCTCAGACTTTGCTTAGAATGTGTTTGTAAGATGTACCTTTGTCATTGCATAACGGTGCTAGCCATAGAAGAGCAGCACTTTATGATACATATTGATCAGAATGTCGATTTGCTCCCTCAGACAAGGCGTACGTGTGATAGTGAGGATGCTTTTAAAAGCCGTTCCAGGAGAAATGCAAATCTCGTCGGGAATCTTTTAAGTCCCTTCACTTCAGGATTTAATTTTACGAGTGCTCGCCTTCGCCAAAACATCAGCTCCTGAAGGAGATTTCACGCAGCATTAGGCGAGATAGATCTAGTAGAACGGACTCCTAAATGGACTCCCACGCAAAAAGATATGAAGGACCCTGTTTTGCTGAAGACTCCCTTGAAACTCAAAAATGAACTGTCTGTCGTGACTGTTGCTATGTACGTCACTGGCTTAAGCAAAGAGCTAAGTACTTACAACAAATGCTTGGTGTACATTTGCAGGCTCTACATTTTGTACTACAAGGTAATTTGTCATATTAAAGTAATAATTATCTTTACGCACGCACACACGTACGCAACGAATGGCTATAAATTACATATTCCACGTAAAGACATTTGTTTTATAGTGTACTTATTTTCTTAACAGCTTAAATGACTGAAATGATGCTAAGAAGAGGTAACATTTGTTTCCCTTGTTTCTTACAGATTACATTTCAACAACAAGGCGTTTAGAATTAATCGGCATCATTTAGGAAACGCCTGCACAGACAATCTTCTTCCTGTTAGGAGCGACGTCTTCTTTGAGGTACAGAAACATACCATGTGTCATCTATTAACTTATGGCTAGTCACTTAAGGCCAAACCAAGTAATTATCATGGATGAGGTCCTCTGGAGATCCTAAATCTACTTCAAGGGCGCGAAAAAAAATACAAGAAAAAAAACAAGATGCCTAGATGTGAAATATACCAAGGGACGACAAACGTTACGATATACATTGAATGAGAGATCACAGTGTAACGACCAACAAGTCATTTATTCGTCATGGAAACAGCAATGAATCAGTGGAACAACAGCTGTCTTATTGCTTTGTTTCTTTCCTTTCATCACATCTTCCAATCTTGTGATTTTCTGTACTGTGGTGACTCTTTGGTCATAGTTACAGGGATTGTAAATTCTTGATTTTTCTGGTAACAGGCCAAAACTAATGCACGCGCGGACGTCATCCATAAATATTACTTCGTATGGCCTAAGCATATCTGTTTATGCTAAGGTCACAATTCCCAGTCCTGTTTGTGGAAACGAGAAGTGTGACATAGGAACCAACAAAAACATACAAAAATTTGACAGCCTAATCATGAGTGTTATTTGTGCATATTCGTTATATGAAATATTTTTTTTTTTGTAATTTAAACAGCCCGGCCGGGCCCCGGTTTGGAAATGTGACTTTAACATCAGACGGCGTGAAAGTGTGTAGATTTGAAGACTTTTTATCATAAGTACAATTCGTCTTAATCAGCAGCACACGGAAGAAGTGAGTAATGGAAAAGAAGTGAAAAATCACATTGATACAGTTAAACAAAACATAGGATGTTAAAAAAAAAACAAAAATCAAAATTTGAGCTGATTTTCCGACTCAATATTGGCCCTTCTCAATGATGGATAGCGTGGTCAGGGGTCAGGGACGAGCTTTCTAAGTCAGTGATTGAAAATCCTATTTCTCTTTCACACACAGGTTGTGCATACGCTTTACCTATTATAGTAGAGTGAAGGACATCGTAACATATTGCGTTTCATAACCTATCGGTGAGAATGTATTATTTAGGGGTTAGGGGTGAGCTTCCTTGAAGTTCGTAGTCGATTGAACACCGGTACCCCTTTTATTTATGACCGATAAGTTGTGCATACGATTTGCCTGTTATATTGTGTTTCATGACCTATCGGCAGGGGTGCCAAAGAATTAATCAGAATTTTACGGAATTCAGACGATCCTTACTGGAAACATATAAAGTTAACGGAATACATACGATCCATTACTAGAAACATACGAATTTTACGGAAACATACGATGCTTACTAATTTGGTGACTTGCGCCACGATCACGTGACATAGGCAGCAAATTCAAGATGGCGGACTATTATAGTGATGTTGTCTCTACTATATCTTGGCTTTAAAGAATTTTAAGGGCTTATCCTTCCAAACAGCAGGGCGATGCTGGGATTCGGTGTGATCGGTGATCGCTGCGACAAGTCACCAAATGACCCCAAATTAGTAAGGATAGTATGTTTCCGCGTAATGGATCGTATGTATTCCGTAAAATTCGTATGTTTCTAGTAATGGATCGTATGTATTCCGTAAAATTCTGATGAATTCTTTGGCACCCCTGATCGGTGAGAATGCAATTAACCTTCACATCCCTGTTTTGGCACTGCAAGAAAGACGCGTCTTTTATCACGACTACGTATACAAAGTGACCTTCTGCAACCGAGACTCATTTAAAGACAGCATCTATTTGTCTCTTTTGGGACGTACAAGCACAGAGTCGACTGTTCGCTGAGGTTGATTAGGCCTAGGGAAAACATGTTGTGTTTCCTGTTTCCCGACAGACCCTAGAAAAAACTGCCGACCATACCCTTTTTTGCGAACCCCTGCAAGGGCTGATCGGCCTTTTCTAGCTCTATGATCTGACATCCGAGTGATGAAACGTTGTACAGTCCGTTTCCAACATTAACATTGAAATTACAGGTGTTCTCATACAAGTTTTAGTCTGTCAAACTGCATTGCAGTTGGATCACCAGAGACCGCCAAAGCCCAAAAAAAGAAAAAAAAATCCCTTCCTACCGACCGTAATTTTTTCAGGACTAAACAGGAAACACAATATTATTTTTCCTAGACCTTAAGAGGTTTGGCGACAGATAGACATGGTTAGGATCATATATCTAATACTTACAGTGGAGAGCACATTGTTGAGTGGAAGGAAAGAAGGTATATTTGTATTCATCAACACCCGTATGTTCACCGCATTGAAACGACAACGTTGAATTTAAACATATCTATCATCAGTTATCATTAATCTTCGAGGTATGCACATATCAGATTTCAAGGTTTTCTTCGACGATAACATCATTTGTTAATGTAGCAATATTGACGTTGCATATAAAGCGGAGGAGGGTTTCTTATTATAGCTAATAAGGCCACACTGACTTAATTTTTATAATTATGCATAACGTCTTCTGAAAACCCCAAAACTAGTGCGCGCGAGCGAATAAAAAATCCAGCACAAAAAAATGCTGCCGCAGGAATACAAATGTGGTGTTGTGAATTTGCGGTAGTAGCTATAGTACATTACTACTTTTACGACAAGCCCGCACATGCTGGTCTTTTTCGGCATTTATTGGTCTGCACTATACTTAGTTCTTGAGGTCCGTGGAGCTTTGGCAGCCTGGGTGTCATCCTCCATAGTTATAATTACCGCCGGCTCCCTATTGTCGCTAGCTACCATGGATTATGGAAGATCACACCCATGCCAGAGCCTCGGAAGAGATGATTTTTTTATGCCAGGCGAAAATCAATGCGCGCAGTTGGCATCTGAAACTTCAAATTAAATCAGTGTGGCATTATAACCAACAGGACTCTGAAAGGTCAGAAGTACTTTGGCAACGTTGACATGACGCATGTGCTTTCTGCAGGTGTTCCCCTTTAATGTGGTGTTCGGCGAGGACATGCTGATCAAGAGGGTGGGCATCGGGCTGCAGAACATCTTCGAGAAGCTAGAGGGCAGGCGGATAGACGAATCCTTCACCTTGAACAGGCCACTCGTGAAGTTCACGTGGTCGAACGTAAGTTACGTCATGGTATTCTAATGTTCTAATTATGGCTTCACCACATAGTGGTGAAGTCATATTGTTTTTCCCCATGTTTCTTCTCCTTCTTCTTCTTCTCCTGCCATTTCGTTAAATGGATTCAATTTCTTCATTTTTGGGCCAAATGACATAAAATTTGGCATGAAGATAGAGAAGCCAAATACCATTAGGCGTTTTTTTTTCCTTTTTTGAAACAAAATTGTTTTATTTGGAAAAATATGTAGGGGATAGCTATCCAACTGCTGTATTCGTAGTTATATGTCACTTCATACTATAGCTATATCGATATAAAACATTGTTTCCCTTGTATTCTCCTTCTTTCCCTGCCATCTCGTAAAATGTGTAAAATGCTCAAAAGCAAATGGGGGCCTTTCTAGTTATGTTTACCTTCGCGATAGATACACATCATTTTTGCCCAAGCTTCTTCGTCTCCAAACAAATCAGTTCAATGACCTAGGCAAAATGGCTGTCACCATAATTGTAACTATGGTGCTGTAGCAAACACCCTTGATTTTTGGATGACATTATGAAGCAAGTGGCAGGACAGAGTTGTAGGGGCTGGTCACCATATTATGTATGCATATCATTGCGTTTGAGTAAGAATAAACTGTAGTTTGTTAGACTTAGCCTTGACCATGTGAAGATAAACATTTAGCATCTACTTTGGAAATGTTACCTTTCTAGCCCGTACGATCGCGGTCTATCTACTTTAGTGATACAGGTGAACCCAGAAGTTTGTCATTTGTTTGGAACATGTGACTGATGCGATGATCCACAGCAATGTATTGTGTAGATATTGGTGGCGGTTGTTACGATCGCAACTCTTTTTACTGTTTCCTTAGGTGTTGAATCATACGAATAACCTGTTTGAGTTGGTTTCGCGACTGCCAATCGAACGTACGGGCCTTCATGGGAGAAACAGCATGGGCGACGAAGGGTCTGGTAATCTCATGCACAATAAAGTACATGGTAAGGTGACATCTTTTATTTCTTGTTGTCTTGTTATACAGTAATCCAACAGCTAACCAACATTTAGGCCATAGCGAGTAATTTTCATGGGTGACATCAGCGCGCGCATTAACTTTTGCCTGATTTGGGAAAAAATTGTTTCCCTTTGACAGTGGTCAACCTGTCGAAAATGGGCAAATATGTCTATTGGCATGCTGAAACTTGGATGACAGATAGAAATGTGAATAGAGGAGACAAGACAATGCTCTGATTTATTGTATTGTCTTTTACTTTCACTTTGTTGCTTTGTTTATTTCATTTCTGTATATGTGATGTTGTCGCTGAATAAAAAACCATCTCAAAGTTTGAAAATACATAAATTTTGCTTTTTGGGGACCCGCCTTGTTTTTTTGCCCTATCAGATTTGGTGTCTGTGAAGAATGTCATCCATATAATTTACTTGCTGTGGCCTTAGACTTTTACAGACTTCCTACTGTTTTCCAAAACGTTCAATATTAGACTTCAGATGACTGTTGGTGATGAAATAACAGCTACATAAAAATGTACACGTATATACAATCGAACAGCTAGCTGATGTATGGCCCTGACTTCAGGCACGTTCTGAAATTATTTGCCACATTGTCGTTGGTTCTTGCAGCTCATAAGCAGGCCACACGGCGGCGCTGCCCGTGGTATGGTAAGATCAGTGTTTGACAGCATGTCGCAAACGCTTTTGCAAAATGCACATTGCGCTATTGCCGTATTTTGTTACTCTCGTGATCACAAGGGCAGATGGTAGTTGTAAAAATTTTGTGACTCACGTATTTGATACGTGTAGTTATAAGAAGTACGTAATTCAGTGCATAGGTGCTGCTATGTACTTTGGATTTCAATCAATCAGTCAATAAAATCAACAAATGTTCAGCAATAAGATCAAATTGTCATTGAAAAAATCTAGAGTTAGTAGTGGTAGAAAAGGTTTTTACGACGAAAGTTCACCTGTGTTGGTTTATGACATAGTAAATTAAAAAAACAAGTTTTACTTGAAGACAGTAGTGTAATATTCACTATTTCAAGATTTGCAAAAAAAGTTCTTAGATCAACGTTGACGACGTGTAGAAACCACAACCTATTTACATGTAGATCAAATCATTTGTAAACTTGGGAAAATGAAAATGAAACGGCCACTTTATCTACTGCGGGAAAAAAACATCAGATACCGTCAAGAAAACTACCTTCCCCAAGTACTCCAGAAAGTCCGGAAAATGCCGCATCACCCTCGTCCGACTACCATATCCCTACGACCCTTGAAGTAGCTAGTTGCCCTACATATTATTTTCTGTTCTGCTAAGCTATGTATGCACCACGTATCAAAGCCTGTCTGCTTGGGCCGTCCATGTGTTTGTTTTGTAGCAATATAGTGATGGGGCATGACGTGATCATCTCACTGCCTATGTCCACTGTAGCTGATGTAAAATAATGTCATCTTTAAGCGTTCAAAATCACAGTAGCCATAACTGCTTTTCCCACTGTCATAAATAAATTGGATCTGATATTGTGAAACACTAGTGTATACCGTAGATTTGTATTATATTGAATTGTATTACATTTCATATTATCAAAACTACATGTATGCTAAAGATGCAAAAGACTATTGTAACGATAATCAAAATTGTAATATTTTGAGACACTGATACTTATTTTTCTCTTGGAACATTTGAATTAACGAGTTACATATGATACAAAGGCACTGAATGCCATTACGTGCCTAGCCTTACTGCCCAGTCATGTAACTGTTACCGTATATGTCCTTTCCTTGGAAACAGGTTTAGGTGTTCCTTCTATCGAGAACGGGTACGGGAATGGTGAGGAGGAGGTGGGGAACGGGGGCAAAGCCGTGCCACTGGACACGTCTCTGGAACTGATGGCCTTTCAGACAGTCACAGGTACAGTACTAGTCATGGAAATCTGTTAGAGTAGAAATTGGCCGAATAGAGACGTAACATGCCAGGGGACTTGGTCCGCTAGAGAGTTCATTTTGCCACCCCCGAAGCCTGTCGGGGGTCGCTACGTTCTTTGAAGTCCACTAATCGCTGTCTAATATGTGCGGCAAAATGTATTCTCTAGCGTACCACCTCCCTTGGCATGCTATCTCTCTATTTGGCCAATTTCTCTTTCCAGCCGCCTTCCGAAGCCTGAGCTGGTAGATCTGGTAGCCTGGGTACCAACCGGATTTTCGCTCTGCAACGCTCGTGATTTTTTCGAGCGAAAATCTGGATCGTACCCAGGCTAGGTAGAGGTTACTGAATCCGGTTGACCTGTCATCCGGATTCAGATATGCTGCAATTTATCTAATCTCACTTTCTGTACCGTCCGTTGGTAGGAGACGCCCTGGAGGGTTTCAACACGCTAGCCAATGAGAACGACCGGTGCCTTACGCTGAAGGGGCAGATGATGTTCATGGAGGACTGGAAGAGTGTCATCTTCATCGGTACCCCCATGTAATGTGAACTCCTCACGTTTGAGGGTCTTTTGCTTTTTTTGTATCAATTTTATTATATCTGCCACTTTTAAATCTGCCTTTTTGTTACATTTGCCATAATGATTATAGACATTGCATTGCAAAATTTGCAAGTTGATTCAGACTTATACAGATCATGGTATCGGTAAATCTATGTTGTCAATGAACTTGAACATTATCTCATGCACATTGTTGCAGTGGCTGCTCATTGGCATTGTATGTTAACATGTTAGATAACTGAATGTTCTTTAAAAAACTTTAGATACGTGTTTCTAAAGTTGTGTTACATGTGTGTCTAGTAGCAACTTTTCACACGTTGATATTATACAGTAAAAATAAACGGTTTTTTTTAATATCAGTTACCGAAATATTCCCTAAGCTTTAGCCATCTAGAAGGCCACCAAGGCACCCCATCCCGTTCCTAATGTTGTAAATTGACAGATACCTAATTACGATAGGTATATGAGTACGAAAAATCTAGTGCTTGACCCGGCCCAGTGTTGACGGTACACTTCAGAGAAGCCAAGTGACAAGTAGTCTCACTAGGTCAGTCTATTGAAGAAGACCAGAGTGCCTAGTCGAATGCTCTAGGTGCCTGAGAACAATCTTTTGTGTTGGAGCAAAAAAAAAGTTTGAACTCCAAACACGTGTTGTTGACACTCTATGCCCCTCTCTGACAGTATGGAGAACCTGGAACAGATGTTCATGACCGGCCTGTACATTAATGACCTGAGCATGCACGACTCCAGCCGAGATCTGGTTCTCGCCGGGACCCAGCAGTCGGCCGAGCTCAAACTCGCCTTGGACCAAGTAAGCACTTTCTACCTACAGAATGGACAGGATGCGTCTTCTAACCTGTTTAGATCTAGCCTGGCGTTTACAGTTTAGAAACCAAGTACAAGCAAGAGAAATCTAAAATTGAAATATTCAAATTTACAAGTCTTTCAAGGAGGCGTACAAGCTGTTGGGTAAGATAACTTGCTAACCTTCAGACGACATTTGTTAAAACACCTGTGCAACAGCTTGAGTGCAGTCTACAACATCGATATTCAATGAACATGGAAATCTTTCTGCAGCTGTTCCTCTTGAACGGCCACAAGGCCACGATAATCTCTGACTTCTGTATGCCATTATTATTGTATTTTATTTATTTATGTATGTTATATGTTGCAGGGGAGACAACGAGTAGAGGTAAACAATCGCCTTTTTTGTCTCCCCCTCCATTGTGATTTGTCCCAATGGAAAAGCAAAGAAAGAAAAGAAGAAACAGAGAAAGAAAGAAAGTCTAAATCCCTCCTACTATAAAATTGCAACATGATGTAACAACAATTACCATGGTGATAGACGTCTGGTTCAGGACATTGACCTTATTTGGTTGGAGAAGGAGAAGAGGAGGAAGAAACAGAGCAAAAACAATATGTTTTCCTTCTGCAAAGGTAAACATAAAACCTTATTAATATGTTATTGTCCTCCCAGGAGCAACAGAAAAGTTCTAAGCTGGAGGAGAGTATGAGGATGCTGGACGTGGAGATGAAGAAGACGGACGAGCTGCTGTACCAGATGATCCCCAAAGCCGTGGCGGACAGGCTCAGGAAGGGAGAGGCGTCCGTGGAAACATGCGAGGTCAATAGTGCTCCTTCTTTTTTTTATACCAAGGCCCAATATCACTAGGACGGCGCTCACACTGCGCTCTCTCTACGACCTGAAATTGGTCGGAGCGTGGAGAGAGTGCCTGGTGATCGCCAAGATCGCCGTGGGAGCGCCTTGAGAGTGCCATATAAACGCCGTCACCTCGGCGACTGTTTTGAACCAGCTCATACCGCCGCCTTGAGAGCGACGACGATCCAACAATGAGCGCCGTGAGAGCGCACGGAGAGTGCCGTGAGAGCGCACAATGGTCTAAACAGTCATTCATATTAGAACATGGTGACCTTGGCGCTCTCTCTGCGTTCTGGTCAATTTCAGGTCGCAGAGGGAGCGCTGCGAGAGCGCCGTCAAGTAGAATGGGGGTATAATCAGAAGACATGGTGACGGCACACTAAAGTTTTTTCAACTTATTTCTATACAAGAACAATGCAATACTCATTTACATCTGCATAAAGTGAGAAAAGTCGTATAAAGTGCCTTTCCGAAGGGTACACGAAAGGTGGCAGGGTTCGAACACGAGGCCTCTGATAGCCCAAGGAGGTTTAAAATCAAAACAAGACCTTTTTGCCAAAGACCTAGACAGAGAGGAAAAAGAGCCTCTATATTCAGTAACTTGTAACCAACTCGATGAAACTATTAGCCGAAGCACACTTCGTCCTGCTGTTGGGATGGGACTGTTACCACGAAGTAGAAGGCAATGGCGATTGACGCATGCGTATTGCCTGTGTTGACACTGTTGCACTGCCTTTTGCTGCAGTCTCACGCTGCATATTTTCAGGTGTTCCAAGAGGTGACCATACTCTTCAGTGACGTGGTCGGCTTCACCAAGATCTGCAGCCGCATCACGCCCATGCAGGTTGTATCCATGCTCAACTCCATGTACACGCTGTTCGACCAACTCACGGAGAAGCACAATGTCTACAAGGTCGGAAACGTCACACGTCACACCCTAGTTTTTATCTATTTCAATATTTATCACAAGACATGGCGACGGAATACTTGTTATGCGTGTTAGTCTATATGATAATGATCCTAACTAGTAACACATGTTACAGCCACCAACGGAGACATACTCATTTTCTTAAATGAAAGGCACTTTTCTCCAAAATTGGTGGCATGGCAGGATTCGACATCGGGACCTCTTGGTTCCATCTAACGCTCTGTCGTTACGCCACACGGCCCCGAAACGCCCCACAACACCATACATGTAGATGTTGATATGTCTTTAAACGCATGGCAAGCACACGTAATACAAAATAAACCAAGCAACTGAATAACCTCTCTGAATGTTCAGAGCAATTATTCAACTTTGCTTATTTTGTGTCACGCATTGTCCGTCCGTCCTTCCAAAAGAACGCTCAAAAATCTGTTCTATATAACTGATTATGATTCCAAGGCGTTGTCTTTCAAACATTCTCCATTTCATGGTGTGAGGCTGGTTTTCGCCATAGCAGTTTTGCCATGGCAGTTACCAGGCAGTATGAACGTATCCAAAGATCTTTGACGGGCAATATAAAATACTAACATAATTGTTACTGAAAGTGATGCACTAATATACGTTTGTTAAAAGACATGCATTCATTCATTCATTCATTCATTCATTCATTCATCCCATTCCTATGTCCGATTGCAGGTAGAGACAATAGGAGACGCCTACATGGTTGTATCAGGTGCTCCGGAGAAGACCCGGTTCCACGCGCACTACGTGGCCGACATGGCTCTGGACATGCTCAGGTCGATGAAGCACCTTCAGGACCCTTCTACGGGGGACACCCTGCAGATAAGAATAGGTCAGTACATTCGCTCTAAAACATAACCTGGGTATTAGCATGAAAATTCATCCGTGTTGGTATACTTCTTTATGACCAAAGGGACAATAGCTAAACTTTCTAGCCAGCACTAAGTAAATTGGGATTTACCCTAATTTTCGACCGACTCCGTCAGCCTTGTTCACGGAATGGACCCGTCTACTGCAGCTTCCGGGATGTGACGTCGGAAACACGTGATTGCAGCAGAGGTACGTGTCAGATAACCTGTGTCGCCTTCCGTCTCTAGCTCTGTTCAGTGTTTGACGGTTGGCCCAAATGTACACCACACCCTTTACTCCTCTCGCGAAAATATCAGGTTATCTGACACGTACGACCCTCTGCTGCAATCACGTGTTTCCGACGTCACATCCCGGAAGCTGCAGTAGACGGGTCCATTCCGTGAACAAGGCTGACGGAGGATATATATATATAACCTGGATATGGTTGCTTTTGTCAGAAGGGTATGTTTTCGGTTTGAGCCTGGCGGAGCACCTGTGGTGTGTGCCCGTATTAAGGTCAAAGTCATGAGTTGAATATCTGTGGATGGATTTTTTTGTATGTGGGTAGCTGTTGTGGTAATGTAGTTCAACTTCAAAAATGGTCCTCATTTACATAATTTGCATTTTATTGTGTACATCTCTGTCTAAGTTACCTACATGCCAAAGATCATGAAAATGTGTCGTTCCTTTCTTGATGTATCCGCTTTGAAATATTTCGCTGCACATGAAGTTTCAGGGGAACATAACTCACAGCACTTGTTCCTGCTATGAAAAACTACCAGCCACCAAAAAATCAAGGCCATAAGTTGTCCACGACAAAAGATACAAAAAAAAACGTTCTGCTGCAGTACCGAGATCAGCTACCAGGAGGCCCAAATTTGACCTTGACCTTTATTATAGTATCTGCCTGTTTCTATATAGTAATAGTATAGTATACGTATATTCTCCGGTCCCCCCTCCCCCACTCCCTGTTTCAGGTATCCACTCCGGCGCGATAGTAGCTGGTGTGGTGGGCATCACCATGCCGAGGTACACCGTATTTGGCAAGGACGTGACCAACGCTTCCATCATAGAGAAGACCGGAAAGGTAACGAGGAAGGAAACAAGTTCATGGCCGATTACTAACGATGAGCTCTTGTTTTTTTCCAAGTCCAGGTGCCTTGAGGGAGAAGCATGCTGCCATGCGTGCTGTGAGACTAATATCGTCGTTGAAAGAGCACTAAACTACGCATTGATTTTTCCCGGTTTTGATAGCTGAATTGGTACTTGTATGTGGAGGTGTCTAATTGTATACGTCTTGTACGGAAAGAGGCCGTTGTACCCAAAAAGCTCCATAAAGCTACATTCCAAGCAGAGGTTTGGCCTGTTTTTGACTTTTCTGTAAGAGATTTTAAGCGTTTTTGTCTGTGCTTTCTTTGGGCAGCATACCCAAAGAAAAAGCCTACAGAATAGAAATCCGACAAAACGCATTAAACTATATAAAATAACGTCCAAACTGGCCTAACATCTGCTTGAAGAGTATCATAAAGCCACGTAAATGCACGAAACGAAGTTGATATTTGTTGACTCGCATATATATAGTCTTTCCGTACCTAACGTATACAAGTACACTGGAAGTACCTCATCAGGCAACAGTACTGCTGCACCAAGCATGTGTCCCTGCTAACGTACTAACGCCACAACGATAACGCTATCGGCAGGGGTGCACTCCGGCATGGTGGTGGCGGGGGTAGTGGGGCTGAAGATGCCCAGGTGGTGTCTGTTTGGCGACACCGTTAACACAGCATCGCGCATGGAAAGTAGTGGCCAGGTACGTCATGATTTAATGCTGAGGTCACATTTCCAAACCGGAGCCCGCCCGGGCAGTCTTATGGAACGAAAAGTATGATATAAAAGACAACAAAGCACAAAAAAGTTATTAAAAATGGGAACTGTTTGTGTATATTATGGATATAAATCATTGATTTTTCGTTAATCGAAACAGCCCGGCCGGGCCCCGGTTTGGAAATGTGACATGAAATAAACGTCTGCATGTCGTATGTACGAAACTTTATCTCAAGAGACCAGGTAAAAATAAGGGTGTTCACATTTCAGACGACGCATGCGCAATGTGATGCATTGTGGGTAATAGCTTTACTCCGAGCTCGAGATTTGAACAAAAGACGTCTGGACATGTGTGAATCATGGTCTGATGTGTTTTGCTTACGTGTCAGGCCTGAGCATAATAATTGTGAACCTCCTTATACATCATAAGAATCCAGATGGAATTGAGTTTATGCTGAAGTCACATTTTCAAACCTGGGCCCGGCCGGGCAGCTTTCGGGAACGAAAAGTATAATATAATTGACACAAAAAGTTTTAGAAACTAATCATGACTATTATTCGTGGCATATTCTTGATATGAGTTGTTTCCCGACAGGGCCACGGTTTGGAAATGTGACCTCAGAATTAACAGTATAGATCTAGTGTTCATGACGCCCTAGTAAAAGCCCAAATGTTTCTACTGTTTATAACAGCATCAAGGGTCATATGAGTCTTGGAGTGAGTATTTTGCTGGTAGTCTTATATATAGCCCTTTCAGCAAGTCATATGACTCTTGGAGAGCGTAATTTGCTAGCTGGCAGTCTTGTAAATAACCCTTATTACAAGAGTCGTGGAAAGAACGATGATTGACCTAACCTGACATCTCATGTTGGGTACGTTGTGGCCTAACTGGTGGTCCATAGCCTCCCTGCATTCTTAACTCATGGCCGGCCGAGTTGGAGATCTTCAAGTCCCCCTAAATGCTCATAAAACGCGACCAATTCTGCCGTAGTGCACTGTATCTGCACACAACAGGGTCGCCATATTGTTTGCCTGGTCAGTGATACTTTTGGAGTAAAAGTAGCGTCCAATTCCTGGCAAAATTACCAAAATCGTCCACTATGTATAAGACTACCAGAAAAAGAGTCGTTTTTGTTTTTATTGTACATAGAATTGAAACACGAGAACTTTGTAGTTAAAATGGGTCGGTGTAGTTTGGCGACTATAACGATACGTTTTACAGTGTATTTCGTATCGGTTTCGTGAATTGGTGACAGTTCAGTTCTCTGTTATCGGTAATAGGCGGACAGTGTCATTGCGCACTGTATTGAATATTCCTGCTGTGTATGTCCGTACAGGGAATGCACATCCACATCAGTGAAACCACCAAGGCTCACTTGGACGAGGAGCCTTACGTCATTGTAGAGAGAGGGACTGTCACAATCAAGGTACGCGATATGTCTGGTACAAAGTCATCCTCTTCTTCCTCGTTCAATTAATTGATAGTTAAGTTCATTAGAAATGAACGATTTCCAGGCATTCTGTTCGAGATGTGTTCCGTTCGAAATGTCTTCTGTTCGAAATGTGTTCTGTTCATGTATTCAGTTCTCAATGTGTTCTATTCGAGATGTGTTCTCTTCTTAATGTGTTCTGTTTGAGATGTGTTCTCATAAACGTGTTCTGTTTGAAAAGAGTTCTGTGTTCTGTTCGAGATGTGTTCTGTTTGAGATGCGTTCTGCTCAAAATGTGTTCTTTTCGAGATGTGATCTCTTCGAAATGTGTTCTCTTCGACACGCGTTCGAGTTCCATTCCGTTCGAAACGTGTTCTGTTCAAAATGTTCGACATGTTATCGTCGTTCCCAGGGTAAAGGTGAGATGAAGACCTACTGGCTGAAGGAGAAGTCTGGGGACGAGCCCGTGGAGACGCTGGACGCCCCGTTCCTGACCAACTCCAGCGAGAACGAGTCGGACGACGGGTCACGTGATAGTTCCAGGATATCCACCTACAACCCCGTCTTCTCTGATGACGTCATCAAGAAGCACCAGGACGCCCCGACCATCGCCATCGAGGAGGAAGACGCGCCGGAAAAGGTAGAATACATGGCGTGACGTAATGTCAGTGGACAAACAAAACTGTATATCATAGGTTGCAGAAAGTCTGTGGCGCCCCCCGTCTCTGTTGAGGGATGGTTGTAATGCCCTGATGCCTCTTTAATCCCTCGTGCAAAGAAGTCCGGTTCTGAGTCCAAGATTCTGACCTTGCCAAGTGAGACTGAATGTCCTGCAACCTGCAGACTTTCTGCAACCTATGATCCACTGCTCACGGAGTCACGTGTGTGTATCTGCGTGACGTCATGGAAGCGGTGGAAAACTTTATACCGACCTGGAGTAAGTACTTATCATCGTCGGCCTTATATATGCATCACATTTCAGTCTCTCAGATCAGAAGTACTGAAACTAGATGCCAGCATAAGGCCCGGAAACTGTCAGGAAGTTCGGAATCTTTTGAAACACTTTTATCCAAAAGACATCAGGCGCAGTTAGATAAAGACATCAGGTGCAGAACCTTAGATTAAGACATCAGGAACAGAACCTTTTGTGGGCATCGTCGTTTGAAAGCTGAACTAAAAACGGAGAGATTTAAATCCGGATAATGCTCGGGCACCTATCAGGTACCGGAAGGGGAATAGGCAAGTACGGACAGATTAAAGACATCCAATGCAATCTCAAAATGACAAATTCAAAACAATTCTGGATGGGGAAATCTGTCTCATATTGGCATTTACTGCTATTTTCTGGCACATTTTCGTCATTATTTCATACTGGAAGCGTTTAGAATATCGCAGAAACAAGCTATACGTTTCTTTTTTGGTACCGCCCATAAATAGCTAAAAGCAGCCTACGATACAAAACAACCAGCCGTTTTCTGTCGACGTTGCCTCACAGACAATCAATGTGCTATGATATGGGATAGGGTTAGTTCAACTTACTACATTATAATTTATACGAAAGTATGACCAGAAGATCCTATGGACTTTGAAAATCCTGTTTTGCCTTCCTGAAATGTTGCACTGGATGCCTCTAAAGCAAAATTGTCCAGGGAGTTCTCACGTAACAGTGTAATAAACGAAAACAAAGTTGCTCAACTGTCTTCCAATACATAAAAATATACTGTTTTCCTTTGCACCTGACGTTGTTTCAACCTCTGGATGAGCAATGTACAAGGCCCCCTATAGGCGGATGAAATATTTCAGAAGACAGCACTCGCATATACTGTCTTAAGCTTATTGTTGATGAAAAGGATATTATGAAGTAAAGACTTAACTTTTTACCTCCACCACTGGAATGAATTGGGATTTACTCAAATTGTCGTAAGCCTTGATCACGGAAGACCTGTCTACTATTGCAACGTGACGTCAGAGACACGTGACCGTAGTAGCGGGTTATATACGTACCAGATAACTTGTGTCGCACCCCGTCTCTGTTCAAGGTAGTTCTGTACGCTCTAAAGTAGACAGATTCAGATTCTATTGTAATCAACTTGCATGTTACATTGTACATTCTCTTGCATGATAACATAAAATCTCATAATAACATGAAATCATAAGAAATCATCCTTCACACTTGTTAAGAAAATTAGGGTACTAGTAAGTCCAAATTCATTCTAATGTTGGAAAGTCTTTACTTCATAATGACTTCTCCCAACACAGATAAACTTCCATGCTAGGAAAAGGACATGATATTTATTACGTGGTATTTTCCCTATGACACGCATGGGGTTGATTATATAAGAGGTAAAACTTTGCTTAGCCCCATATGGCATATCTTTCTGCTGTTTATAACAGCAAGTATATGACCGGTGGTGTCCGGGACAAAGTCCCTGTTTTTACAATCAAGTATTTTCGTATATGAACATATCAATCTAGACTGTATGTACAATACCGATATGTATATACAATGTATATACAATACATATATATGTATATGAGAGAAGTATATAATTGCTGTATTGTAAGAGGGGTTGCTTATGTATTTTGTGTTGTTTGTATCGGAGACTAGTCACTGTGACGTCATTCAATATTCCCGCCAAAATAAAGATTACGTACCCCATAGTTCCACTTGTGGTGTTGTGTTGTGCTTGTGTTTGTTTGTTTACTACATAGTTGTTGAAGACGACGTGAACTATTTACACTAAAATACAACAGAATAATGTTGGTTACTAGTGATAGGTATTATTCAGTGAACAAAGGCGTTACAAAAATATACATTCTTCTGATGTTAGGGTATATTCAAATCTTGCAAAATTAATAGTTCTCCCAGTACCTAAAAGCATGTTAGCCGATTCAGAACCTCGCAATATGGCTGGCGAAAAATTGGTTTTTGTTGTTGAGAAGCAAACATAGATAAAAACTAAGCATAAGTGATAATTATGTATTGTTTGCTTCATCGATGATCTGCAAGACTCGATGTTCTGTTACACCAGAAGATTATGCTCGATCCAACTAAACGTCTGTTCATTTAAAAAAATAGCTTTGGAACTGTTGCATTTTAGAGTTAATGTTTTATCAATGTCGTCTTTAAACACAGCGTTGTAGTGAAGTGATCAGTCGGTCGGTGTATATGAAAAAAAGCTATTAACACATCCGGCATATATGGCATTCCTGAAGATATTATAACGGCCAGATATCTTGAGATCGGTACATACAGAATATGTATAATTGATGTATATAGTTTTGTTGAAAAATACTTGCTCATATGACAATACAGTTTCATGTGAAGAAAGGACGAAATATGAAGGGATTCAATTTAGAAAGTTTTTAATACAACCTTGTCCTGGGACCTTTGCATTCAGTTTGACCAAAATAGCAAAGTTGACTTATTCCCTTGTCTAGTGTCGAAGCATTGTCTGTTGAAATGAAGACAAATAAAGGGAGATTGAGTAGCCTGGTTCTCAGTCTATCGTGGTTTGGACGGCGGGCTCCTTTTGTCGACAGGCCCGAAGAGAGCCCTTTCAAACCACAATAGACCGAACAGCAGGCTAGTCAATCTCACTTCATTTCTCGTCTTTTCAACAAAACATGCTTTGAAGTATGGCATACATATCTTAGTTGAAGTCATGATATTATGTTTTTGAACAACATTCCAGTGTACAATAACTGGCTGACACTTCAAAATGAAAAGACGGTAGATGAAAATATACAGAATATGAGGGAGAGAGAAAGAACATCTCTAACGATTATCTGAATTTCTTAATCCAATTTGCCCCAAAGAATTAGGAAAGAAAGACATTTCTGGCTCATACCTCTGACGTATGTGAAGATTTCTATTTGCTATGTGGCATCTATGTCAACAATTCAAATCTAGTCACAAAGGATTATAACCTGCGGATAATCCCTGCTACATTGTATATGGAGGTAAGCAGTAATGAAGAAAGAGCTCGAGGATGACTGGAATTTCTAAAGCTAAAGACAGCAGATAAGAACAGATCTCACTCTAAATAGAACATAGAAAGAAGATTCCCAACAATATTTCGTCACGTTATCTGAATTTACCTTAATTTGATCCGATTTGATTTGCCCTTACCGAAAAAGTACTAAATATTTTAGTTGATACTCCGGATGGTTCGAACTTCGATGTATTTTCACAGAGATGCTGCCATATTACAAAATAGGCTTATTTCAAGACAATTGCACATAGTACATTTTTGTACAATCTACTATGTATCGCAACCACTAATATAAAAAGTACAAAAAAAGTTTAGAATAAGACCTAATATGGAATGAAACCAAATAAATCATAATTCCACTGTACTGGTCATGGATGGACAGACGTTGCAAGGTGTCTATTTTTTGACAAGATTCTTACAAAAGACGTCAGACAGTCCTGGACTGTACATGTCATCCATTGGTCACGTCGTTTGATCTAAACCTCTTACCATAATGAAATTAGTACGCAGTCGGAAACGAAAGGACTTCTTTTATCAAAGATCAATCACTCATACCTGAATGACATTCAGACAGTCGGTAAAGACAGGACTTTCGTAAGAAAAATCACTTTAATATCGCTGAATGATGTGATTTTGATATGTCGGCCTTTGAAGTGAGTAAAGGGCCAGCTGTGGTGGGCAACGGCTATTATTGTCTAACCTTTTCCAGTCAGCAAATTTAGATTAATTGCTTCTTTGTAAGTCCATATGGATCGGACAGCTGCCGAGGCACTTTGCGGTAATTGGAAAAAGTGTCGTGACTCCAGACTTCTCACGCACCCGAAGTGAACTGCCGCTATCAACGATTTTTAGCGTTATTTATCAATTACTTTTGTTATTTCATTGTTTTGTTACCATTTTGTTTCATTTGTTTTGTTACCATTATCATATTGATCATATTGATCATATTGATCAAATTTATTAATTACTTATTATTAATTACTTATTGTTATTTATTATTACCGTTTGATTTGTTAGCATTATTTCAGTTGTTAATTAATTTTGTCGGGGAAGATCCCAGACAAGCCACTATGGCTTCATATCTTTCCCCAGCATTTTATTTTATTGTCAGTAATATGTTCATTTTATTGTTCTTAAATATATGCGAACCAATAAACAAACAAACAAACAAACATGTTTGTCAACGTCCTAATGCTAGCACCCGGGCAGTTTGCGGGAACTAAAAGTTTGTTATGAGTCAAGTCATATTGATTTGATTAGACATAAGAAATGAGAAACTTTTTTAGCATTGACAGAATTTGCAATAGTCTGAATTATTGCTAATTTACAAATACAATAATACCACAATATCACGGAAGATTAAAAACCTTAAGAGAAAACATCCATATACATTGACATTCAGTTACACATTATTTACAAATATTCGATTTTTAAAATTATAAATATACATATTCAAAAATTATATGGATGACATCCTCTGGAAACCCCGAAAGCAATGCGGGTTTTCGGATAAAAAGAAGGTTTGGGAACAAAAGGTTTGGTATTCCTAGCGTTCTTGTTTCTTATAATTCTTTTTTTTTTTATTTTGTTCACTGGTGATCTTTGTTTCAGGATCCTTCGCAGCGCGGCAAAGTCGAAGGAACGAAGGTAAAGACCAGTGCTGCGGCGCAAGAGACTAAAGCGGAGAAGAAAGAAGAAAACCAGAAGCCGGCCAGACACAGGAGTAACATCTGTAGTCTGCTGTAGATTATAACGCCGCACATGAAAATTTTCACTGCACGTAATTTTATCTTTAACGGACATATACAGTAATTTCAGTTTTGGTGCCTTTGAACCCAAAATCCTATTTGCAAAAGGTGATCAATTGGTTTCTACCAGTCCCGCACACATAGGGGTGATATTTGACCCAAATCCATGTTTACGTTTTGATGACTGCCTATTTCACCAGGACGCTGTGGTGACGTCACGGGTCCTATTAATCTAATAAACTAGCCATGAAATCACTAGTGTTAACATTTAGTGAAAAAAAGAACATGTCAACAAAAAAGAAGCACCAATGAATCACCTTTTGCAAATAGGATTTTTGTTTAAAAGACACCAAAACTGAAGTTACTGTATTTGTCCTTTAAGCTCACCTTAAAGCATACGTAAAGGTTAATTTTCCCACCGCAGTGAACATTTACGTATAATTTAATCTGCGTTCAAAATTCGGGATTCTTCTATTATACTGAGTTCTTCTCTCAAATTCCACAGCACAAACTAATCATCATTTAGGTGTATAATATTTCATAAATATTTGTTCGTTTCTATGTTTGTTTGTTTGTTTCAAGTAATCAAGTTTGTGCTAGAATGTTAGAATCACGAATGTTACTCTAGGTCTTTACTCGAGATAATTTTACCTTGAAAGATATCGCTTAGCTTGTAATAAACTTAAGCAAATACCGCTGCAATTTGGCAATGTACTCAAGGATTTTCTACGTGTTTTCGTGGTATTTTAGAACTTACGTTTAGCATTAGAAGAATCGCTGTACACGAATGACTTGAATTGTGGAAAGCTGTGAAAAAACATGTTTTGTAATTGTGTAATGTCTTCTATTGTCTGAACATCATAATGGGAAGAGGGTGGGTAAAATAGCACTATGCACAAAAAGTGGCCGAAAAATCAAAACAACAGAAAACATTGACCTACAAAATACCGTAGCAGCATAATTATTGGTTTAGAATTATTCCTGGTCCATTTGATGTTTTGTTTGTTTGTTTGTTTGTTTGTTTGTTTTTTCATCCGCAACAAGCACAAACGTTACCGTTTGGTACGGCCGCTTCACTTTGTCTCAGGTGAGTGCATACTAGCCTCGGTGACATATTATTTATTTTTTCACCAGGGTTTATATACTCAAAATAGAGAGTTACTATGGTGAACTAAATATAATGTCACCTAGGCTAAACTAGTCTACAAATTCATAAATATCCAACCTCGTTTACTCTTGATTTTACTAGTTTAAATCCAATTATCATTTTTTCATATGAAAATGAATATAGTGCACCCATCATTTTCAATATGAAACGATAATCAAATGAGTGAACTATAATGTTTATTGATTATCTATTTAGGTTTCAATCGCTAAAACACTATGTTTGAATGTTTATGTATATATGGCTCTAAAATACATACTGAACGTTTAATGTTAGATCTCTGCTCAATATAGGTGTCATTATTTGTGTACTTGTCGACTTTTTAAAGCTGGCACCATGGCGAATTAGTATAAAATGCAATCGCCTAACTTAGATGTCTCTCTATTTAGCACAGCGATACACATGTTGAAAATAAAGGACTGAAACTGTGAAACTTACACTCAACTGAAAAGTTTAGGCCTTAGAAACAATCCGACATCTTTCTTCAGCCTCGAAGGGTCGTTACACTCACCATTTTCCCACTCCCAGGATGCATTGCGACTGGGGGTAAAATCTCCCAGGCTGCATAGCGCAGGGAGGTATGGAAGTCAAAGGTCACCCTGCTCACGTGACTGAACGAGGGCATCCAATAGGAGTTTTCTCTGATAGTGTTGCTGTGCTTATATATTTTACGAAAGATATTATCTTTGTAATCCTTCTAAAAGGCTGACAAAGCTCTGAACAGAAATTGAAAAAAAAAAATTGAGCTGCGTTCTGACTAGCCGAGTATAACTTCACAGGATCTTAAATTCTTTAAACCCATTTTTCAGCCTAAAATATCTACAAAGTGTTTCAGTGTATCAATGTCGGATCATGTGTTAAGCCACTTTGCAGTGCGGATCATTCTCATGGTGGGTCGAGCAAAACTAATTCTGAAGGTGGATCAGCCTATCACTAAGCTGCTTTACAAGGGAGTTTAGGACGCCAAATTCACCTTACATTCAGGATTTTCCGCCTAGAAAGGAATTAACTGAGATTGCTTTGCTATGATAAAGGGATTAAAGCTAAGTAAAATCATTTACATGACGTAAAGGTTATAACATTATGTAAAACTGATTATAAAGGCTTTTAAAGTTGTCATCTTCCTTGGAAGTATTACACCAAAGTCTTCGACAGCAAAGCAATGCCACATCATAAAGACATGAAAACGATGAAGTCAAGCACTCAATCTTTATTAACTGTCTCAGAGAAATCTGAGTGATCAGTCGGTAGAGTGTATGTTTACTTCCGGTTGTGACGTCATCAAAATGGCGGCTGCTCATTCCAGGATCCGTTCCATCATCCGGTGGACGGCGGTGATCTGGAAGCCGTTTCTCGTGGCTGAAAATGGGAGGAATGGCAAAATTTCTTTCAATCTTTATTCTTTATTCAAAACAGTGGTCAGCATAGCAGCAATACATAAAAAAATTATGGACCGCTGAATTGTGCTGACCTTACATAGTAAATAATGAGTAAAAATACAACGAATGTACAAACAAAACATACAGATTCACGACAATCTGTAACAACACATAAAAACTAGTTCTGCATTTTATTGTTATACAGTCTGATTGCGTGATGCAGAAATGAATTCTGCAGCCTGGAGGTTCTTGCCATGGGAACCCTGAGTCCTCCCCCGTTCCTTAAGGACCTCCCCGTGCTCATCAGCCCCTCCATTAAGTCATGGAGGGGATGGTCTGCGTTCAGCATGGCTTTGAGCAGCTTCACGGCTGCCAGTTCTCGTCGTTCTCTGAGTGTAGGAAGGTTGGCTTTCCTCGCCCAAATGGTAAAAACACAATCCACCAACTTCTATTTCGATATTTATAAAGATTTAACACATTTATTTGTGGAAGGCCTGGGGTTGACATAATAGGTGACTATCACCTCTTCAAGACGTCAAATCTGAGACCAGACTGTTAGGTTTGAACCACTCACAATTGGAAGGACCCCTGCTATTTTCAATGTGTGGTTGGATCTTTAACTTGCTCAAGTCCCATCCAAGACGTCCCTAACCGAAGCTACACGTAGGTATTCATGTTAACCTGAGTCTAGTGAGGAAATGCCTTTCCCAAAAAGAACACAACAATGGGGTTTGCCAGGTATTCGAACCCAGAACCTTCAGATCCTGACTCTAAGTCAGAATCTGAACTTGATAATCTTAAATTTCACTTGGGACTCTTACACAGTGGGTTTTAAATTTAGTCGTCTTGTGTGACTCAATGAATTGTACGTGATGTACGTGATGTAGGTAAGAAAATACGTTTTGTTATTAGCTTTTGTAGCTTGTGGTAATATATGTGGTAACAGGGAAGGGCTTTAATCCTTGAATGGACGGTAATACAGCGATAAAAAATATACTGATCTCACCGAAGTAGCCGCCGGTGTATCCCCACCTACCAGACAAAAGAAAAAGAAGTAAACGAAACAGAATATGTATACAGATACGATTCATATTTTGCTATACTGGTATATGTATATCAGCAAAAGATATCGTAGACATGATCATCATTCGTACATGCTACTAATGGCTACTGGAACATCTTTTAGATTTTGTTTTCGATTGTGGGGTCGAATACACTAGGAAGATCAAACAACAAGAGCTGAAAATCAGAGAAAGAGTCGTCTGAGCTAGCACCAAGACGGCAAAGGAGAGTACTTACCAATCCCAGCATCCCATGGGGTTGACCGGGAGGACGGACGAAGTGACTTGTGGGTAGAGGATGATGATGTTGTTCAGTTCTCCCACCTCGTTAAAACCAACATGGCGGGCGTAGTAGTCACCGAGGTACGACCTAAGTGTCAGAAATGAAGTGAACAGCGCTGGAAATAAGGCCACAGCAAGTAATTTTTTTGAATGACATCCTCCGCAGACTCTAAATCTACACAACAGTGTCTGGAAGTTTTCTACACAAATATGATGATACCACGCCACGTTCGAATTCCTGATATGAGTAGAAGGTACGTACTTGCCCTGTTTGCAGCCGTGCAGATGAATATGCAGCTTGCAGTCTGTACAGGCAGAAGATCAATCAATCAATCAATCAATCGATCGATCGATCAATCAATCAATCAATCAATCAATCAATCAATCAATCAATCAATCAATCAATCAATCAATCAATCAATCAATCAATCAATCAATCAATCAATCAATCGCACATTTAAATGTTTAAAATATAATGTTAAAACAATACATTTCCATACATAAGTACTAGATTTGCTTATGCCTTGTTTGCATAAGCCAGTTTTATCTTAAGCCAGTTTCGACTTCAATGGACGATCAAAAAAGACCGTGGCATGGTTTTCTAGTATATACAAACTTATTCCTTTCTACGTTACACAGTGGGTATGTAATAATACTATGTACAATAAAATTTCCATTGATAATTATTATAAAAATAAAGAATATAAGAATAAAGAATAATACAAAATAATAATAAATATCAACCATTCGTGATTATTAATAATTATTAAAAGTTATCAAATCTTGATGACCGACCGGAGTATCTGCCCGCACAGCCTGACGGGATATACACGAACCCCTCGTCATCCATGCTGTAGGCGGACGGCGACGAGAAGTAGAAAAACTCCCCCTGGTCGAACGTCCTGAACTGCAGGCAGTCAGAAGATGTTATCATGAAAGTTCATCTGTGTTGGTAGTTACATGTTTAGAGTTAAAACTTCTGGTCCAACACAAAAAGTGTTCTTCTGATTCTTCTGAAAATCAGGGCCCACCGACCTTCACTTAACCGCGACGGGGGTCGACATCCTCTACCAGTTACCTTTGACCTCACACGTGACACTTGAAAGAAGCTACGTGACAAGCCTCACTGGGTCAGTCTACTGAGGAAGACCAGAGTGACTGGTCGAAAGCTCTAGGTAAGAGATTTTTTTTTGTGTGTTGGACCAAAAGTTTTAACTTTAAACAGCGAGCAGACGTGTCTAGTGCACATACACGAGTCGGTGTCGACCAAAATGTCTGCTCCCGACAGATTTTTATTTGCTCTGTGTGTCTATGTGGAGTCACTGACAACATTAGGCGACTAGGACTAAGGTTAGGGTTTTTGGTTTTCGTTAGCAAAAAAATGTCGACGTATGTGGATAAAAAGTGATGTGAATCTGTACCTGTCCGCGGGTAGCGACGTCACTGAAAGGGTCCGGTTTCTGAAATCAAAGAGACAGAAACGTTGCTGAGTTTGACATTTGCTTCCATGTGGATTTGATTGTGGATGACATCCGAGCATGCATTTTTGTCCGTTTTCGATCAATTAAGGTTTGACTAAGGTTGTTATTTTGCTGTGTGTCGGTAGGAGGCGGTAATGACCCGTGAGTACACTGAGCCACGGGTTTGCATATGTCATACCACGAGAGGCTGGCTGGAGCCGTAGATGTGGTTGAGAGCGTGGTAGGCGCCGTTGTAGTCACAGTTGTTGACGTAATTGGGCGGGCTGATGTGGTCACACTGGCCACCGTAGTCCGCTGTGGGCTGGACATTCAAACATAACGAAGCATTACATACAAAAGTTAAATACATGTATGGATAACTTCATCCTACGTACCGAATATATGTATGTGGCAAATTACGCACAGAATATATATGTATCAGTGATAACAATAAAGGTTGAACTATTCTCTAACATGTAGAAACTTTCTTTAAAATGTATTTTCCTATTTGAATACTGTATTGGTTATCTTCCATGAGAATGTAATTGAATTTATCTATAGGATCTGAGAATGTAATTGAATTTATCTATAGGATCTAAGACACACTGACCATGCCGTGAGCAGCAGGCAGGTTGGCGACAAACTGGATATTGTTGTTCTCGACGTACGACTTGTAGTACTCCCACGTCTGGCGCATGGTCGCTATAGGGGTAAAACAGGAACAAGTTGGCGGGGACAGCAGATAAGTCATCCGCTATTCACGAGTTTCCCGTCCCCAGAATGCATTGCGAAAACCTCATTTGCATAGGATAGGAAGGCATCGGAATGATCCTGTTGACGTTAAACACCTTTTTTGTCAGTGTGTTTTGAGGTGTCGGGGCATTTTATGCTCAACATTTAATTAAATTACTACGGACTAAATTCTGACTGTAACTAGAGAATGAAGTTATTGTGTTCGTTTCGACATGGAACATGTGGTTTGTAACGTCACAGCATCAGTATAGCGTTACCACTATAACGTTACAAACCACATATTCAAAAAAAAATCATTCTCTATTTGAACCCATGCCCCAAAACCTCAAAACACACCGAGAAACAAGCTGTTTAACGTCACCAGGATCATTCCGATGCCTTCCTGTCCTATGCAAATGAGGTTTAGACCCCTGTTTTCGCAATGCATTCTGGGGATGGGAAACTCGTGAATGTGAAACATTTGTTCAGTTTCTAGTCCCCTCCCAAAATTCGTGGCACTGGTACGTTTACAATTAGTTTAGTGCCCTTAGAATAATGCTGATTCATTACAATCGTACACAAAAATCAAAACCGAAATCATACCCTTCTGACCAAGGCAATAAAACGCTTAGTAATAAACACTTCGTTAAGTCGTGAGAAATCTTTATAAAAGTCAACTACTATAAGTACAAATTTGTAGTGCTATTTTAAAACCCTGGTATATATATACATGATGGCCCATTCATTCACTCATTTTTTTCATTCATTCATTCTTGCATACACTTATATATAATTGATATGTTCTTTCACTCACTCACTCACTCAATTTTTTAATCCTTCCTTCACTCCGTCTACCCACCTTCCTCTATTCATTCCTTTCAGCCTGCCTTCCTTTCTTCTTTCCTTCCTTCCATTCTTACTTCGAATTCCTTCCCCCCCCCAAAAAAAACTTTACGTTCCATTTTCACATATACAGTTAGCACAAAGCATCTAGCCTCTACCAGGCTTCCGCAAGCGGCTGGAAAGAGTAGAAATCGGTCAAATAGAGATAGAACATGCCATAGGGGAGTTGGTCTGATGAAATGATAGTGCTCTTAACTCTGTAAATGCCTCTCTTGTGCAATTTGCATATGAAATACTTTAATGTAATGTTGAAATGTACAGTACTAATGTGAATGAAAAAATTTGAATTTCACTATGCTTAATATGTGTAATATCGTGTAAACACTTTTTTAATGTGTAACTCTATTACCACATCTTGACTCCAAGATTGTGCTGTCGTTAAGTTTTTAAAACAGGATGTACATCTTAGAACGCAATTCAGCTTTATGCTGCAATGTTCTTGATTTTAGCAATAAACCATTTTTGATTGATTGATTGATTGATTGATTGTCTGCTGGAGAGCCGCGGCAAACTGTTCTCTCCAGCAGACCAACTCCCCTGGCGTGTTATCTCTCTATTTGGCCGATTTCTTCTCTTTCCAGCCGCTTTCTGCACCCCTCAAAAGCCCCACCTGGCGGCACGGTGACGTCGTTGGCGCCCGTGAACAGGTAGACCTTGTCCCCCCGCATGTTAGTGGTTCCGTCTATGTTGAGAGTGATGGCCGCCGCCTCAGTGCTGGTGTGTAGTACGGACACGTCAATCAACGTGTTACCGTAGGAAAGGTACGGAGCTGTAAGGGGTGGGATTTAAAAGAAATAGATGATTAGAATTAGAATTAGAATTGGAATTGGAATTGGAATTGAGATTGAGATTGAGATTGAGATTGAGATTGAGATTGAGATTAAGATTAAGATTAAGATTAGAATTAGAATTAGAATTAGAATTAGAATTAGAATTAAAATAAAAATTAAAATTAAAATTAAAATTAAAATTAAAATTAAATTAAAATTAAAATTAAAATTAAAATTAAATTAAAATTAAATTAAATTAAATTA